GATATGGCCACCAGACTCTATGACACAAATTGTTTCATCTTTCCTTAAAAATATTAACTTCAGGATATGGAAGGTTGAACTATACCCAGCTCTGGCATGTGAAAACAAATTTGACAGGGTCTCAATAATATTCCTTTACTCCTGCTGGCTAAAGGAATGCTAAGTCAAAGTTTTTCTCTACAGGACCAGTACATTTTCATTTGCTTTGCCACTTATCAACCTCTGAATAACTTGTTACAGGTCAGGATAGATTTGAAGAAGGGATTCTTTGAGACAGCCTGGCTGGCTGCCCAGGCAGGCTCTCTTGAGTGCCATGATCCCAGAAGTGCTGCTTTATTCTATGTCTGGTTCTTTGCTTTCCAAAACCTTGATATTTCATTCAGTGCTCAAATCATTATGTAACCAAACCCATAAGACTTATGTATATTAGTCAACATCTTGACTTGTTAATTGACAATGAGAAATAGAAATAGCAAGCAGATGAGAAATTCATTAACTGGATAAGTATGTTCTTACCTCCTTAGGAAAACATATGTGGGGAACCAATGTTTAAATCATAAATTGCTTTAGTCAGTCTAGATGAAGAGAAAAGGGATGAGTGTCACTGAGTGATGGGAATCAAAGGCTGTACTTTCCCCTTGTCTCCCAGCTTCTGAGTTTGACTGGGTGTTTGTCCACAGGGTCTCTACCTCTTCTTCTTGAGTGGAAATCTACTGAAAAGTTCTTGTCATTTGGTGCCTGCTATTAACAAGATTTCCTTAGACAAGGCAAAATAAAGCTGCCAAGTCTCAGATTTTCATAACATAATTGCAGTGTAGTAAGGCTACTCTTATACTGTACAACCTGGGCACCTTGATTGGACTTGAATTTCAAATCCCTGCAGCCCCACAGTTTCTTGACTTCATTGCTATACTTAGTTAATCTTATGTGTTATGCATTAACTATTATTAGTTTCCTTCTTAGAAAGTGGCAGTATTATTTATTAGGGGTACCAGGCTTTGTTTCGAATAGTAGTGACGTGGTTTTGGGCTCTTGACTACTGCCGTACTCCTTGTAAATATTCCTTAATAACATCATTAGGCAGTTTCTAGAATGTCAGTCCGGCACTAATGCATCATAAAGTTGAGATAAGGGGTTCTCATTAGAAGCTTAAGAAATGAAACAGAATATAAAATGTTGGAATACATGACACATAGCAAGGTAAATATTGTTTTGTGTGTATTTTGTGTATTAGTTTATGATGTCATTTTTAAAAAATTATAGGTGAAAGTTATAAATTGGCAAATACTCTCTAGAACTCAGAGCTTCCTTGTCTGCCTCGGAAAACAAGATGCTGTGTTTGGAAGTGTTAGAATAAAGTCTTGGCTATGAAGAGTCCTGTTATCAAGAGGACTGTATGCACTGTGTTGGGGCCTGGAAAACCTCACTTTGAGGGGAATGTGAAAGGAGCAGTGGTTAGAAAGTCGGTGCAAGGTGTGTAAAGCTTAACTTTGGGAAGATAAATCTGCTGGGAGAAGAGCAGGAGATGTGGGCCCTGGCCAGTCACTGCTTCTCTGTTGCTTATGTTTTCCTTTCACCTTGAAGCTTGGGTTCCCAGTGGCAAGAGCAGAGCTGCACTCTGCACTGAATGTACTGAATTCCATGTGAGACCAGTCTGCAATGATTCCTACTAATAGACAGCCAGTCAGAACAAATGAAGAGATTTTCATAGGAAATTCTCATTTTCATAGGAAATTACTTTCATTAGCATAACAATGCAGCATATTTTTGGCCCCTCAAAGCTAAGTGTTTGACAAATTCTCAGTGACACAAATATATTTTAATTTTTTTCTTTGATATCTGGCTAATTTTCTGCAGTGAGTAAGTCCACTGACAGGTTGTGCTGAGTATTTGGAAGTGGTAGACTGAATCATCCATCTATCCATCCATCCATCCTTCCATTCGCCTGTCTGTCCACCCATCTATTAGTGTTGAGTAAAGTATACTCTGTGCAAGCAGTTTGCCCTCATATTGTGCATTTGTTAGTAAATATCTGTTTGGAAGGGAATTTAAAGCTTATTTGATGTCATTCTTATCAAATGAATGTAACTTTTCTATAGACTCCCTGTCAGGTGATAATTCAGACTTCTGCAATCATGGGGGACTTAAAACATAATTCTAGTGTTAAACTGAAACCTAATTTTCCCTGACTGCCCTCAGAAACCTTTTGTCCTGGCCCCATCAGCTAAGGGAACTGAATAGCACCCACTGCCTGCCTGTCTATCGTAGTTTCTTAGACAATTTTTTTTTTTTTTTTTTT